CTTGGTTTTTAGCGGGCCGGTCGCGGGTCGTGTGTTGGAGGGCTCGTGGCCCGGCGGGTCGGGCTGAACCGGGCCTTGGCCCGTTGACTGGCCACCACTAATTCACGTGCACCTGAAAAAAGTGGTTTTTGTGTGAGGTTAGAATCAAGATTACAACTGTATTATTTTCAGTATTGAAACAGAAAATTGCTGCTGAGTCTACTTTATTGGTTTGGTTATTTGTACATATTAGTGAAATTTTAAAGATAATATATTTCTTGGGGAAATAGACATAGCATGAGACAAAGATTGTTTCCTTCGTATTGAGATTAACTAACTAACGTAAAATGCTACAGTCTCGTTACGTAATTATTTTGTCGATATTAGTAACCGTTAAATCATTATGTAATTGTCATTGATAATTCATCTAACGGTTACAAACCCGACAGAATAGTTCCGTCGGGACCATAGAATCTCCCCTAACTTTATAGGTGTTCATGTATCATTGGACCATAGAATCTCCCTCTCTCTCCCTATCTCAGTTATTTCAAATTGTAAAAATGCAAATATTTGTGATTTGATATTCATAAGTTATAAAAGGTAACAAGGAAGACATGTGTTATATAACGGTTAGACAGTCATACATTTTTTCAACTTATATACACAATTTTCAATTGAAATAAAAATTATAGAAACAAAAATATATTTATATGTAATGACATAAGTATCATTTTTGTTAAAAAAATAAATAAATAAATAAATAAAAATCATCTAAGGTTGGGTCCCCATACATTAACTTGTAAAATATGAATGGGTTATTTTCTTGAATGTAAATTTAGTAATTTATTTAAAACTTCAACTTTGTCCACTTCTTAGCAATAATTAAGACTCAATGCAATAGTTGCAGCTTTAACATCAGAACTCCAGAATTTGATTGCTCTCATACATTGAACTTTGAAAGGAATCTTATCTATAATTCTATATGCATGAACAATAAAAACCTCACCTGGAAATAAATTCAATAATAAACCATAGGAGCGTATTTGTATACAATTATTTTCGCTCAAAATGAGTTTTTTTATTTGAAAAAAGTGGCATCATTAATTGTTAGTGAAAATTTAATTTTATATTAAAGTAATATTTAGAATAAATTAATTAAAGTTGATTTGATGAAAAAGTAAGAGAGAGGCGATTTGAAATGATAGTTAATTAAAATTATGTGAGTGAATGAATAGTAAATTAAAGTTATATGTGATGTATAAAAATGACGAGTTGATATTATTTAATTATATTGATAATATTTAGATTTGAGTAATAATTGAGTATGGAGGAGATTTTTTGTATACAAAAATATCTGAAAAAGCTTTAATGTTTCAATTATTGAGTCATATATCTCTACATATACTATAAATATCACAAATCTTATTTATATTATTTTTTAAAATTATACATATATTTCTCCAAAAAAACATATATTTAGCTCAATTAAGTTTCCTCATATTCCCTTGAAAGAATCTTGAAATTTTCATTAAAAGGATGATATTTTAGACAACTATCTTTGATATATGTTTATCCTAATTACTAAAAAAACAAAAAGGTCCTTAAAAAAATTTCCAGTATCTTATTTTTAATCAAAATACATTTGTTCCTTGTTGATTCAACTGTCAAGTAAAAGATTAACTAAATGATTAATTAAACTTCCTACCTTATACCAACTATATATGAAAATAACGGTTTGGCTATGAAGCCAACAGTTGGCACCATAGTGGAGTCAACCTTCTATATACGACAAGTAAACCTACTATATTCTCTGATTACTTAAATAACACTAATATAATTTTATTAATATGAGAAATTTATTTGTTGTATATAGCAAGTTGACTTCACAGCAAAACCGATGAAAATAGAATACAAAATTTTAGACAATCAAATAATTAATTGTAAATAAAATGAAGCAGCTTAAAAATACCCTTGATTTTGTCATTTTACATAATAACCTCAGCTCCAAGACATTCCCTTTCCTATCCTACTTTCAACTTGCATTTCTCAATTCATAAATTAATATGACTACATTTTTTTTTTTTTTCATTTATGGCACGGAAAAAAGCCACAAGATTTGAGACCTGATAAATGCAAATTATTATTGTTATTGCCTTTTTTGTTTATGGCTTGCTCGCGCGCCTGCTGGCTGGCTTTTCGAATTTGTTCGGAATGTTGAAACCGAGCATTTGCCCTCCACTCCTCGGCTTTTCGATGCACGTCGGCCATCCTCTTCATCAATTTTTCTTCCATATTTGCCCTCATTTTCTGAATTTTCACCTGAAAAACAAAATATTGAATTGATTTTGACATACTGTACACCTATTAGTAATTAGGAGCATTTTTAATTTAATAGACACATTTACAGTGCAGTCATCAGATTGGATCAACACACACATAGGTTGTGTTTGTTAAACATATAAATTAGCTTATAGCATATAAGCTTTCTATATTCAAATAAGTTCGAGTTTATCCCATATGCTCACTAAAGTAACTTTTCAAATAAACAAATTGAAATTTTTATTTCAACTAGCTTATCAACTAATTTTACCAAACATTTTTATCACAATAGCTAGTTTTTCGGCCATAAATCATAACCTATCAGTTATAAGCTCGAAATTCATTTAAAAGCTATTATAAATTAGCTTATCAGTTCAAGTTTATCAAACACAGTCATACTCATCACATGAATATGTGTCGATCCAACGGTAAAACACACTCTATTAATGCATTTATGTGTGTCATAAATAATAAATATAATATCCATTAAATAATTTGTTGATGTTTTACAAGGTCTTGAATTTTGGTAAAACCCCCACATTGTCTTTTGTTTTTTTTGTCTTGAATTTTGTAGATACAATGGGAATTGCACATGCATGAGTTTGAAATTTCCAAAGTTAAATTGTCTTTGCATGGAAATATTAATTATAGACTAAATTACCATGATTATGTAAAACAGCATCTTGCTTTCTTCTTCTTGCATCTTCTAAAATCTATTGGGTGAACAGTGATGATCATAGTAATTATTTATTAATAATTTAATTTTTTTGTATTAAAATATGTGCAAAAGGAATTATTTTTTTTGCACGGGTGTTGAAAGCGTGGGTCTTGTTTGGCTGGTGGCTCAATGAGTCAATGTAAAAGCTTGCATATTATATTAGGAAGATGATACAATCCCGTTACGGAATTAAGCCGTCGGAATTTGTAACCGTTTAGATCATTCTGTAACTGTCATGAATAATTGATCTAACGGTTACAAACCCGACGGAATGGTTCCGTAGAATTTCCCATTATTACCTGAGTTTGTGTAAAACTGTAAAAGGAAAAAATGAATAAAATCCAGAAAATGAATAAACATTATTTAGTACCTCAAGCTTTCTTGATTCAGCTTCTGCTTTTGCACTCTGAAGATTCACCCAAGCCTGAATCTTAGCTTCTTCCCTTTGGTACCTTTAAA